GAAGGAGGAGCATGAAGTACATCCGAGCAGCAGCAGGGGTGAAGCAAACCCATTGCAACAACCTGCAGCAGTCAGCGTGCACTGCTGAGTGCAATCGGTGCCCCTGGAGCACCCCGGGGTGACGTGGGGAGCAACGCTGAGCCTCGAGCTTCCTTTAAGCTCACAGTGACATTGGTGAATGTGTTTTGAAAGCATCTCTTCCTGCAAGTAGAGGCCATGGCCAGCGCGGGGGGAGCACAGGATGGGGTTTGGGAGTGTTCACAGAGCCCCCAGCAGTGCCAGGAGATGGAAACGGAGCCCTGCAAGCCCCCACCGCTGCCAGGAAAAGCTTGGAGGTAACAAACTGCTCTGCAAACATCTCCCCAAATTCACTTCCCGGCTGCAACCCGCTTAGAATGCTCCAGCCCAAAGTGTTGCACCGCAGTGAGACTTGTGGTTGCAGCAGGGCAATATCGTTCCCCGGGGGGTAGGGAGGCAAATCTGGGCTGAAGTCTGATGATGCTGGAAGCAGAAACCAGTGGGTTTTGAGAAAGTCAGCGTTGTTTCAGTACCGTTTATAGCAGCAGGTTTGGAGGTGCAGGTTTGCACCAAGTCTGGACAGAATGGGGAAGTGCAGCCCCATGAGTGGCCCCTTCTCACTGCTCCCTGCTCAGCGTTTGTGTGCTTCCCTCTTTGTGCACAGACTTCTGGATCCCCCTGATCCAAGATCCCAGATCCAGATCCAAGATCAGAGCCCAAGTCCCTGCTTGGGCTGGGAAGGAAGTTTTCCTGCTCTCACTCCACACCCCCCCCCCCATCCATCATCAACCTTGTGGCCACCAACCAGGGACTGTCTGTGGGGCAGACCTGGGGTGCACCCCATCCTTCTGCAAACACCCATCAGCGTGCAGAGGCCCCATCAACTTCCACCAGCAGAACAGGGCGTGCGGTCACAGGGAACCCAAACTCCCTGCTTTTCACAAAAGCACGCAGACACGGCCTCCCTGTCCACTGCTTCCCCTTTTTATTTACTCTCTGAAGCCGACAGCGGAAGCCCTTGGGGGGCCGTGTGCTGACTCCCAGCTCTGTGCAGGGCCATGGCACGCGCCCGCTGTGCCAGCCTGGACCTGGGGGGCTCTATAGCGAATGCCCCCGTGTTGGACACCCTGGAGGAGCACCCACCTCAGACCCCCACCTCAGCCCTCATCTACAGCAACGTGGGTGAGTGACAGCCCGGCATCCAGCCAGAGGGGTGGAGGGGTGCTCAGCACTGGGTTTTGTGTGTGTCTTTGAGGGGAATAACATGGGGTGAATAATTTCTCTCTCCACAGGAGAGCTGCGTGCCCACCTCGTCCCCACCAAGGCCAGCCGAGGGGATGGAGCCAGGAGAGCCCCCCCACAGCCCAGCCATGACCCCCTGCCTCCCCCCTTGCCCCAAAAGCAGCTGCAGCGAGCTGAGTCCCTCCCTGAGCCAGGCACATGGCAGCCCTACCACCGAGACCCCCTGCCACGACTCAGCAGCCCTTGTCCTCAGCACAAGGACACGGCACCCAGAAAGCCCCTGACCAAATCACAGAGCCTGGGGGACACCCGGGGGGTGGTTCTGATGCCTAACCTGGCTGATCTGACATTTGGGACAGGGGATGCGGTGCTGGGCCCGATCCTACAAGGTCTGGAGGACCGGACAGGGCTGTGTGAGGCCATGGTGGGCTGCCACGCTGCTGGCCTGGCCCGGCTCTGTGCCCGCGCCATGGAGGGGCTGATGGGGTCCTGGGGGGGGCTGCAGGCCAAGCTGGCAGGGCAGGGCTGGGCTGCGCTCAGGGTGCTGCAGCAGGAGCCATGTTGCCAGAGCGGGGATGCCTGGTATTACCGTGTGGGGGTCACCTTTAGGAAAGAACAGCTGGAGCTCGCAGCCAAGGTAAGGGGGGTTGGGACAGCAGGAGGGGGCTGCAGGCAGAGGGAGCCCTGGGTGGGTGAGTAGGATGGACGGCAATTGGGTGGTTCCTCTTTGGCACCCACTTCTTCATTTGCAAAACAAACTGGTGCTGAAGGCTCTTGCACATCCAAGGGAGCAAAGGTCCAAGGATGACACAGCTGTGGAAGGTGCACAAGGCCTCGAGGGGTGAGCAGACGTGGAGCAGGGCTGGGTGTCCTGACAGTGTGGGGTGAGAGGCAGCACAGCAGCTTTGCAGCTTGGCTGGGGCTGACCCCCCTCTTTATACCCTGCTTCTTCATAGAATCACAGAATGGTTTGAGTTGAAAGGGACACTGAAAGGCCATCTGGTCTCACTCTCTGCACTGAACAGGGACACCCACAGCTCCATCAGGCATTCAAAGCCCCATCATTCAACCTTGGGTGTTTGCAGGGATGGGACATCCCTGTCTGGACAACCGGTGCCAGTGTCTCCCCACCCTTATCGTAGAAAACTTCTTTCTCATATCCAATCTGATTTCATGCTCCAAGCTGTCTCAGCATGCACCAAAGGGCGCAGGGGAGCCCATGCACTGTGCATGGGTAGGAGCTACACATGGGTAGGAGCTGCATGATGGCCTGGCTCAGGACAGGTTCTGTCCCAGCACATCTGCCCCTTCCCCATCTCTCCTTGCAGGTCCTCAAGCCAGGCTGCTGCAGCACGGAGATGCAGAGCTCCCTTGGATCACACTGCAGCATCCAGCGCATCATCAGCCGCTTCACCGACCGCCTCCCAGGGGCGTTGGTGCTCCCAGGTCACCCCGGTGAGCAGGGACTGTCCCCAGGCTGCCCTGCTGTTCCCCGTGTCCTGCAGGTCCTCCTTTGCCCAGATGTGCCCTACCAGACCCTGGCAGGCTTTGTGGAGAGCTCCCATGCACTGCATAGGAGCAGCCCTGGGCACTATGAACGCCTGGCGTGCCTCCTGCTCCTGCAGCTGTGCACAGGGCTGGAGCACCTCAGGGTGCAGAATGTGGGGCAGGGTGACATCTGCTCTGAGAACCTGTTGCTGGTGCAGTGCCCGTGTCCCCCTAGCAGCCAGCAGGACAAGGAGGGATCCGTGGGGCTGTCCCTTCCAAGGCTGCTCATCAGCAACTTCTTCAAGTTGAAAGATAAGACCAGGCCTTGTTCCACCAGCCAAGAGTGGGACTGGACCAAGGGGTCTGCTGCTCTCCCCACCCCGATGGCAGATGAGCTGAACGTAGGCATGCTGATCTATAAGATCTTGCATGTGGATATCTCTCTGGAAAACGCTTTGGATCTGAGAAGAAATCAGCTTCCTGCAATCCCCTCCCTGTCCATCTATTCCACGGGACTCAAGCATTTGACCACGCTGCTTCTCCACCGAGATCCATGCAAGAGGGTCTCCATCAAGGAAGCCAGGCACATCCTGCAGGTCCTGCTCTGGGGGCCTCGCCAGGAGCTCTTTGCTAAGAGCAGGAAGACGCTGGCCCTGCTCCAGAGCTGGCTGGAGATGAAGAGAGCATTGCTGCTGCTGAAGTTGGCTGAGAAGGCGGCTGGAGGGAGCCCTGGCCTCGAGGACTGGCTGTGCTGCCAGTACTTTGTGGAGGCCACTGAGCACATGCTCTACCAAGTCACCCAGACTCTTTACAAGCCATAAAGACCAACCTGCTCAGAAGGTTCCCCTTCAAAGCCAAGAGCCCACGGAGGCTCCAGCTCTCATCTCCCCAACTAAAGCCGGTCCTGGTTGGGAAAACTCATTTCCAAATCTGAAACTGCTCCCACACAGCACACGAACAGACCTAAGCAAGCAAGGACCAAACTCTCAGCACAGTACCTTGGCTGCCACGATGCAAATGTGTTTTTGCATCCTCAGCTGATTTTTGCTCAGTGCTTTGAATCCAGCTTATCAGAGCCTCTCAGCAAAGATAGCTGGATGGAAGGCACAGGATGAAGCAGCAGCTCAGCAGCTCATTGCCCTGAGTTAAAGCGAATAAAGCTCAGACTTTTCCCAAAAATCCCTCCTCCTGCACAGCTGCTGCCATTGTTTTAAATAACAATACGAAACAATACATTATTGCTCACTAAAGACGCACTTATGGGAGGAGAAAAGCAACAGATCATACAGCCATGTCCTTTTTAGGAACAGCTTGTGGCACAGTCACAAATAGAAATGACATTCAGAGGAGGAAATAAAGCAGCCACACAGCTTCAATAAAAGCCAGAGCTGAACCTCTTAAATTCTGCTCCTTTCTATGCTTTCTTACAGTGCTATGCACCCTGGGGATCTAACGTGGGAGGATCACGAAGCTGAAGTTCACTGCTCTGTGGCAATGAGCTGGAGCTGCAGTGAGCACTTGGTGGGTTTGTGGCTGCTGGGAGATGCTTTGCAGGTCTGTAAGAGACCCATTCGGGGTCCTACCAGGAGCCAGCAACCAGCACATCCCGTGCATTGCATAGCGATACCTCAAGGTGCATGGGATGTGGAGGAGTCCACGTGAGAAAGACAGAAATTTGATCAACCCAAAGGCCTGGCTGCAGCACATGGGGTGGCAGAGAGGGGTTGGCACATCGGGGGCACAAGTCCATTGCACGCAGCACTGGGCTGCACAGCACCTCCTCCCCTCAAACAGGGCTTGCTGGGAAGCACTGCTCACTCATGGGCAAGATGCTTCCATCTGACTCAGGCTGTGACTCAGCTGGGAGCAGTGCTGCACACAGCCCCATAACCACACCTGTGCAGGGCAGTGCAAAGCGACCCATCTCAAGGACACACTGCACATGCAGTCATTCACCTCAGACCCCAACCCGGCCTGCGCAGAGGGTGGGGTGTCATGCAAGGCCCTGCTTGGGAAGCTGGTATAATTATTAACTGAGTAATTATTAATCTGCTCACAGCTATCAGCTGACAGCAGCAGAGCAGTTGCTGCAGGCTGTGTGCACAGGGAGAAAAATGCTCCCAGTCAGCAGGTTCCTACCCTGTCTCCTCGGTGTGCTGCTTCCCCAGGGCGCTGCTTTCTTCCAGCCCAGCATGGAAGCATGTTCCATCCCCATCCATTTTCATGGCCATGGGCTCAGCGCCGTACCCAGCTGAAATCACAGACCTTTCCTGCAAGCATCCCTGCCCCGAACATCTCCCAAAGCAAAGCAGCACTGGAAGTGAGACAAAAGATGGCCAGGTCCTTTGGATCAGAGATGAGAAGAAATGGAGATAAGCAAGCTCCTTGCCCAAACACAACTCACACAGCCCTCTCCCAAAGCCAGCATTCTCCCAGTCAGAGCCTTTGGGCCAGAACCACATAGAGGCATTGCCCTGCATCCTGTAGTATCATGCATGGCTACAAGATGGCAGTAAGAGCCCTGGCAGCACAGCCTGCTTGGGCATTTCACCATGAAGAAATAAAGAAAAACAAACTGCTCTGAATGCCCATTCCAACCCCAGGCTGGCCGGATCCTGCACTGCTGCCACTTGCATCCCCAGTTCTGGCTTCCACCTGACCACCACCATCAGCAAACCTCTTCCCTTTTGCTAAGTGGCTCAGAATACCCACGGTCAGCAGGTTTGTGCAGAACCACAGCCTCAGAGCAGAGCTTGGGCTCTGTGTTGGCACACCCTGCAGAAAGCAGGCAGCAGCAGCACAGCTGCAGCACATGGGAGGAAAAGAGATTCCTCTAGAGAACCCTCTTAGGAATTTCAGGCCTTTGCCTGGTGGGGAAAAGCAGAAACATCCTCTCCCTCTCCACTCCATCTCCCTCATCCTTCTGTTTTGCTGCTGGCAAGTTCACAGCTCTCCCAGAAAACAATACAGGAAGAGCAGGATTACAAGGCTGCAAGCACTCAGCAGGAGGAAAGAGGGAGAGCTGCTGCTGCACAGGGTCCGCCAGGATGCAAGGAGCACACACTGCAGGTGGGAAGGGTCAAGATGTTAGCAAAAGCTTTGTGCAAGCACCCAAAGCTCATTAAACACACCATAAGAACGCTCACCCTTAGCAACACTGCTAATTTAACAGGCTCTCTGAGAAGACAGTGGCACAACCTTCTGTCACTTTGTGCTGCAGCAGGAGTTTCCACTGCAGGATGTGCTGCCTGCTGCTTTGAGCAGAGCTGGAAGGCTGGCAGTTCGATGCACCCCATGCAATTGCTGAATTGCTTAGCCCAGCACAGCTGCCCAGGTGTCACCCCACTCAGCAGACCCCTGTGGTCCCTTTATACAGCCCAACACATGAGCTTTCCTAAGCCCAAGTGCTGCAGACATCAAGGCAGGGGTACAATGTGTTCTGTAATGATGTGCTTGGATTTACACCAACTCACAGCATGAACAAGGAAACGTTTCAAACCCAGTAAGATAACCTTGCACCCAACACACAAACCATCCCAGCAATTCACTGCTACGCATTTTATAGGCAGGTTGATTGGATCAGATGGTACAAAACAACCCTATAAAGCTGCAGATATAAGCACTAAAAAAGTGAAATATGCTTTCAAGTTCAGCCCCTCTGGAGACTTACCTCTGTAGTGAACAGCCTCAGTGCAAGCGCTGGTAATTCTAGCAACATGCAAGCACTTTTTCCTGCAGTTGAGTACTGCAGACATTAAACAGCTGAGGCTCTACAAACACGCATTACTCAACTCCAGCCCCTTCTCCTCACACTTCAACCCCAATCAGCTTCACCACATCTGCAGTTCCTGTTAAGGAGGCTGCCTGGATTCGGTCACAGTAGCTGAGCAAGTGCCACAAGCCTTCCTAGATCATGACTGCACACAAGCACAGGACTCCACTGCTAGCACTAACAGCCTCCAGAGCTACAAGTGTGCATTTGATACTCTGAGACACCTGAACCTCATGGCATGTGCAAGCTGTGCTTCTCAGCATTTCACTTGTGACTGTAACCAGCAGACGCCCCAAGTATCCTATGAAACATTGATAGAGCAGGGATCTGGGGATCACAATTACCAGTGAAATGGATAATCTGCTAATTATTTCAATAAAAGCAGGCTTTTCCTGGACTGCAAGTCCTGTCAGATCATCACCTCGAGTTCCCATCGAGCCACAAGTGACCCAAAGCCTTTCCCTACCTGAAATAGCTGGGACAGTTGCAGAGGCACCTCTTCAGAGTGCAAGTCTTAAACAGCTTAAAACCAGCAATAAAAAGTAAAATATAAATTTTTATTTAGAATTAAAGCAAATACTTCAGTATCACAAACACAATATTAAACTTCAAGAAATATACTGCTAATTTGGAGGGAGCATTTATTTTTGCACAACCACAACATGCGCACAAATCCAGAAAAAGATGTGGAGTCTGAAATTTTCAACATCTCACCACCAGAGCAGTTGGTCACAACGTTTCATACAAAGTTACATATACTGTAATAGATGTTGACAAAATTTCTACAGAATCATCTTTATAGACAACAAGAAAGCTCTAAGAGGCAAACATTGCAATCTATTCTTCTTCTGATGAGTCTCTCTCAAACGTGTAGGCCATGAAGCAAGCATCTGGTCTCTTGGGGACAAGGGGATGCCCTGGTCTCACAATCTCAAAGCCCAAAAAGCTGAAAGTACGGAGCAATGCAGCTAGAAAAAAAAAAGGAAGACATTTCATCACGTGATTCCGTAACAGAAGCTGAAGTATCCATCAAAACCAACTTCAGGTATTGCATCAGCCTTTTAATGCTGAGTTCACACCTACCTCTATCATCTCTGTTCTTGTGGAAACAAATGAACACATGATCAACTTGAAGCTGTTCTTCAGCAAACTCCAGAAGAACTGCAAAACTGTGAGACAAACACAGGGCACTGAGTGCACACAGGCAAACACTTCCCTCAGATGTAAGGAGCAAGGCCCTGTGAAACCATCCTCGCTCGTTGTAAGCAGAAGTGAAAGTCAGGGTTTGAAGACTGGCACCAGCAAGAAACAAAAAGCCAAGGTTCAAACATGGGGCACAACTCTAAGTCATCGTTACACCAAATTTCTGAAGGGAGAACTGCAGAGAAAGACTCAGAATGAGGCTTGTTTTCAGTGGATAAAGGCAGCCATCGCTACCAGGAGCACAGTTTGCCATCACAGATCTTTTAGTTGGTTCTGGCTGACAGAACAGGCAGAGGATGACCTCAAACCAGGAGCATTTGATGCTCTCTTACATGAGTGCCACCAAGTAACCAGACTTCCAATTTTAGAGAAATGGAAAAGAACAGTACAGTGCTGCAGACCTTCACGACAATTTATACTGAAGTTGCATTTTATTGCACCCACCTGTCCTTGCTCCCTTCAGGCAGAGCACCACTGGGTATTTCAATATAGAGGTTGTTGTTGTTCAGCACTGCTCTCCAACTAATGTGTTTGGCATCTGTAAGCCTTGACTGGACATTCAGAATTCTTGTCCTGTTATTAGATGTTAGTTCTTCTGTCACATTCAGCCGATTATCCTGCAGAATTAAGAATCACAACATTACTTCCAGTTCATTCTGGAGATAGGTTAACTTCCATGGAAAGGTTTAAGGCAAAAGAGCCCTCCCACCAACCAGAGAGAGCTGCTAAACAACACTCATACTCACCGAATAAAATAAATTAGCTGAAAGATTGTGATCCCTCTGACTATTCCCTCGCCCACCTGGGATCTTCAGGGGTGGGTGAGGGACATCAGGAGCACCACCGAGGCCCCGGACCCAGGTTACTACAGCAATTGAAGGGAACCCTGGAACTAGAGAAGGATCACAGTCAGAGGTAAGCAAGCGTTAAGAGTCATGAAAATTCTAAGTTTTATAAGCGTTAGATGGCAGCGTTTTTTATTTATGTATTTATTTTTTTTAAATAAACCCAGATCAAGGGAACTCCTCCTGCTGCAACCTAGTTGGTAGCAAGACACAGGAACATCCAGGCCAGGCACAGAACATCACCTAAAGTCCAGAGCCAGAAGCACCAGAAAGGCATCACTGGAGTATCTGGATGGAAACACTGGTTTGGAGGGTGAAAATACTCTCAGTTTTTATTTCCCTATCAAGGCAGGTGTGTATTTGCTGAATGTTTGACCCAATCTCAAGAAAGGAACCATTTCACTCTTGCGTACGTGATGCCACAGACCCCATTTTCTTCCCCATCTTGTTCTCTAAGAGATCACGACTGGCCCAGCAAGCTAGAGATCCTTTTCCTTACATACAAGATATGTAGCCTTAATTAAATTAGAATTTTGCATCAGTGCTTTTAGCTTGAGATCAGATAAGATAGCATTCTCTGTGAGACTGTCTCAAGAGCTCCTACGATGCAAAGCTCAGAAAGCAAGCTCTGGTTTCAATGTAAATCCAAATATCCGAAAAATCTAAGAGCCTTCCTGACTTTTAGAGCCTTCTTACATCACTCAGCCACGCCGTGGTACTTTGGGTGAAGGATGTTCTGTCGAGACAGGAGCCTTTCTTGTACACACGCTGAGTTCCATCCCATCCATCAGGCTGCATCACTGTGAGCAAGCCTTTACTGTACAAACAGCAGAAGCTGTGCCTGGCCCCTCCCTCTGCACCATCCCTCACCCTGCAGGCTCACTCTTGAGTTGCGTCATCTCAGCAGATGCAGCAATCGAGGCCCTTAGGGAAATTTTCACAATCGTCCTGTCTGTGAGTGCCAGCAGCCATTTGCAAATCAGAATAAACACGTACAAAATAATCCACCATTTTGCACAGTTCACACGAGTTTAATTTTTTTTTTTTTTTTTTTAACGAGCTTGACATCTGTGATGAATAATCCATACTGTAAAGGCAATGAATGGCCTTACAGGTCTAATATTATATGCTGGAAGCATTAGTAAGCACGGCAGCTATAAAGTTATTAAGCTAAATATAAATGGTAATTTGCTCAATCTCAATTAAATAAGGGTTCAATCCACTTTTTTAGGACCTCTGGAATACTTTAATAGCAGCCTTACTTCTGAATCACTGCAGATCCCTGTATTCCTCATCAGCCTCAAAATAAGCCCTTAAACAAACCTGGGCAGCACTAACCCTTTTTGTGACCTCACCTTTCACCCCCAAGTATCAACAAAGGCTGTTCACACCTTGCAATTCTGTGTTTTAGTGATGCTCGGGTGCATCTACTCCGGTTGAAAAAAGAAAAAAAAACATTATCACCATTCTGAAGGATAAAAACAGCTTTTGGTGACGTTGTGGAGTTGCTCTCCATCCTGAACCAGCTGCATCCATCGCTTCCCACGCAGAGGGCACAGCGATGCTCCTCAGCCTCCACCTCCTAACACCACTCAGCCCAAAGCTCCGCATCCCCAACATCTGCCGGCATTATTTAATCCCCGCTCGACTTTTAAACTACCAGCTCCCATAACGCTCTGCTTTGGGCTCAGCGCCCTCGATTCCTCGTTCTCCAGGAGACCTGCGCTTACATAAGGGGATAACAGCTCGCACTGCATCGCAATGCATCTCCCATCTCCGTCAGGCCCGGTTCCTTTTCCCTGCGGTGCCCCCCCCCCACCCCCCCCCCCCCCCTCCACCCCCCAGCAAACGTGGCACCGAGCCGCGTGGGGCGGGGATGGGGGAGGCGATGCGTGGGGGTGTAACCGCGTTACACGGGCAGCCTTCAGACGTCGAAATAAATACATTTTTCTTTATTGCCTTTTTGTCGTTGTTGTCTTTTTTTGTGGTGTTGCTTTTTTGTTTTTTTTTTCCTCCTTTTCCCCACCCGCCCCCCCTCCCTTGCCTTGTATGAGTGAGTAGGCCGCAGCACCGCCCCGCCCCCACCCGCCCCACAGCACCCCTCCCCCCCCCAACCCTGAGGGGGGGGCACCAGGGCGGGCCTTGAGGGAAGGGGAGGGAGGCCCCAACCCCTCACCTGCTCTGTCCGGTACTGAGGCTCAGCACAGCGGGCATGATGGTGCTTTTATTCCCCTCTTTCTCTCTAGCGAAGCAGTGACTGTTGAGTATCCGCTGCAGGGAGGATTTCACCATCCGGCCGCTCTGGTCCGAACCCCGAAACCCTCCGCCGCCCCCCGCCGACCGCTCTCCAGGCACTGCTACACAAAATGGCACCCCGGCCGCAGTGGGTTCTTATATACCCTCGGGAAAGCCACGCCCCCTCCTGTGGTGACGCACCGTTGGCTGGGTCACGCCCCCGGACGGGAGATGACTCTTTGGCAGTGGACAGATCAACTGTCCATGATAAAGCCTCGCTTTCCATTGGCTGAAACGAGCGCAGAGGCGGAACGAGAAGCTCTTTCCCTATTGGTGGGCAGCGCGATGCGTTCGCAAAATCGACGGGACGGGGAGGAGGGGCACAGAGGGTTCCGATTGGCTGCGCCAGGCGAGAGTGGGCGGGGCTCGGCTGGGAGCCTTCTACACAGCGCCGTAAGCCCGCACTTCCCTCAGCACCGCAGGTTCGAATCCCGCGTTCCCCGACTGTGCCTCGCTGAGGTAAACTGCGACGGGAGGGCGGGGCTCGGCGCATGCGCAGGAGGAAAGAGCGGGAGCGGCTGCCGCGAGCGCCCCTCAGCGGCGCGCTGTGAAGGCGGGGGCGTCGATGCCATCAATCAATAACCGCCCGCCCTAGGGTAGGGTAGGTTGTCCTGAAAGGGTGACCGAAGCGCTTTCCTGCAGCTTTTTATTTCGTTTGTTGTGCCTGCGTTTGGTCGGTGCTAGGGTCAAGTATTAGAAGCAGTTTTTTCTCAGAGCCGTCCCAAACTTGGCCCCAAACCTCCCCTGCTCCCCACACATCTCTTCCAGTACCCCCAGATTCCTCCTTCCTATACACAGATCCTCCCATGTCCCTCACACTCCCCCATTAACACTGTACACCCATGCACCCCATTAACCGTGCCTTCACCTCAATTCTGGGGTCACCCCAACCCTCCCTTCACTCTCGCTGTCCTCAAATCTCCCCCAAAATGCTCCCAGATTCTTCCCTTAACCATTTATATACCCAAATCCTGCCCCTATTAATCCCTGATATACCCACATTCCTCCCCAGTATCCCTCTGATCTCCCAATATGAGTCCCCCCATGCCCCCCAGATGTCTGTATTCAATTCTTCATTCAGCCCAGGCAATTCCAAGCCTGTTTTATTCCCTCCAGCTATCAAGTTGCTGCGTTTGAGTATTTCCACATTTTTCACCCTGTCTCTTATGCTTATTTGCTTTAAGATATTCCCATCCAAAAGCTCTGAGCTTTTGTGGGTAAAGCATTCATTGGTTCCACTTTGAACAAGAACCGAAATCCTCGCCCTCTGAAACTGCTCTGATTGACTGCAATGGAACAAAGCATATTGCCAAAGAAACCACTGTCTCTTTTCCTGCAGCTTGGATGACAAGCCTGGCATGGTCAGCAGGCAGTGACTGCTCTGGGAGTCCTGGCAAGTAAGAAGTACAAGAGAAAAAGCCTTTTCCTGCTGCAGGTAGCTGCTCTTAGCTCCCGGAATACAGAATAACTGTGGTATGAGTGCTTTCATCCTGCTTTCTACACGTTGATTTATGGACGGGAAGCTGATTGCCATTTAATGTTCTACCCAGAGACCAACTTGAAACAATAGGATAGCTGCGACTCGGGAAAATTGGGAGCAAATGAAGCACATCGGAGAAGATTTGGCAATTCACGTTGTGTGTGTTGTTTTAGCAAGGCTTTCCTGAATGGAGGGATGGATCTATTAGGCTGCCTTAGCGTTTTGTTTTAGGTTTCATTATTTCTAATAATGGTGTTTATTATTTATGTAGTAATCCGCCTGTAATTCCTGATAATGGCACAATGTCAAAGGGCTTCATCTTCACAGCTGCTCCCTGCTTTATTGTGGCACTGGAAACAGCTTTGCTCGCTGGATACCTGTCATCTCAGTGGGCCCTCATTCCATTTTACAGCTGAGTGACCTGGATAACACCGGTGTTCTGCAGTGTGCAAAAAGCCCAATCAACCTGTTTTCTTTTTAAATATTGAATGAGATTAGTTCCAGCTGCAATTCTGCTGAGATAGCCTGACTCTTCCAGTTTAGCAGCGACAATGATTCATGCATCCTCACAGAGAAGGCTCTGACTCAGAATTTCAGGATTAGCAGCTGAGGCACTTTGAGATGTTGCCATCCCCAGCTGTTTTTTACCACTGTTTTGCCATTATTACCCTCCTGTAGCAGAGCAGGCAGAATTAGCTGCTCCAGTCACGTTCCTATTTGGCATCTCTGGCCAAGCCCATCTCATCCCTAGGTTATCTAATAACTGGGCAGTGAACCCAGACAGCTGATGCGCAGGCGTCCATAACTGCTGGGGCACAGCAGCTTTCAACCCAGAGGCCAGATGGGTTCATCCCAAGTCCTCTGCAGTGGCCTCTTTATTCCACTGGCTCTAAATACTGCTTCTCCAAGACACGTTTCAAAGGAACAGAACAGTCTCAGGGCTGGAGGTGCAGCAGGCAGCCTGGGGCAGTTGGTTTGCAGCAGTTCTGAACTGCTTTGCTGAACTCATTGGAGGAGAGCACACAGCGAGTCCCAGTTCTGTGTCTTACACAAACAGGTCACAGCAATTAGGCTGTAAAGTCAGCTGGGAAAATACTCTGTACAGTCTGAGTTACTAAATAACCAGATCTGTTAAGAGAGAAAGTACAGGAGGGGCGATGATGCTGCACTCCAGATCAGGAGTCTGAATTTGAGTAGCTTCAGGTTGAGGAAAACAAGAGTTTTATTTTCCAGAAATTTGCCTTTTTTTTTTTTTTTTTTAACCTCATTCCAGCATGTTTTTCAGTTTCTTTTTATAAGAGAGATGCCAGACAATAGTCAGAATCCCCAGTTAATGATTCTTTATTTCTACTTTCCCGAATGTCTTAGGATGGAAGAAGAGTTTGTGGCAGCACAGGAATAAGTGAAGTCAAGGTCAAAGTTGGCAGCTGATAGAAGCAGATGTTCGAGCAAGAAATGGATGAGACCAGCAACCAAATGTATTTCCTCTTCATTGTCTGTTTTCAGGCTTGCATGAGTTTGTGATTAGGTGACACAAAGCTAGTGCATAGGAAGCTGTACAGATCCCCAAACACCCTTAGGATTCAAGCATTAATCTTTCTGTGTTGTTTTCTGTTGGTGAGAGGAATGAGCTGCACCCACATGCGTGTGCTGGAGTAGCAACAAAGCTCCGGTGGAGGTGAATGGAAAAGATTGGTAATGGGCACAGAGCAGAAAACCCCATATATATTCTGCTCAGCTGCATCACGCTGCCATAGCTCCTCTTGGGTGTGGGATAGCAGGTGTTTTTGACATTGAGCAGTGCTGTGGGAATTGATCTGCCTCTGATTTGCTGAGTAGGGAAGTGCAACAGAAAGAAAAACACGAGCTTTCTTTTAAAGCTTGTGCAGTTCTTACATAGCATTACGCACTGAATATCTCCCCAAAAGTAATTAAAAACCCAACATTTTAATAACTCAAGCATCCCAGTGAATAAAAGCCAGTTGTTCTGGTTGCCCTCCTTCTCTCTGTTCCAGCAATACAGGCATTGCTCTTACAGCTTTAAGAGTTATCTGGAGATGTGGCCAGGCACCAAAACAGAACAAAATATGACGCAGAGATGTCTGTCATGTTGTGTTTTCACAGAAATCAGGCTATGTGATGACTTCTCCACCCTGTAATTCAGCCTCTTTTTGTCCCAGGATAATTTAAACATTCGTCTTGGTCAGCTCAAGTACAGCACAAGTTTATAAGGTTATGAGCATGAGTTTATCTAAATACGAGGCGGTGTTATTTCTAAACTTTATAAGACCTGAGTCTTCTAAAGTGGGGCCACTAAATCTATCCATCTCCTCCTTAGTTCTGATTCATACAGGTAACTCCCAGTTACCTAGTTCTACATACTCCCCCACTAGCTATGCTCTTTGGTGTGTTAGAATCTATTCTCATCTTTGTGGGCCATGTAATTAGAACACTTTCTCTATCATTTTCATCGGCTTCCCTGTGAGAATGATGTGATTTGAAGGTCAGCTTTTCTGCAGACCCACTTGTGCTGGAGGAAATTCTGCGTGCCACTGCAAAGTGAGGCTGGGATTCCTCAGTGTTCACCAGCACAGGGAAGAACTTATTTTCCAACATCTGGGTGAGATATTAAACAACAAATGTCTGCACTTCCTACCAAAGAAACTTAGGAACTCTGCATTCTCACTTCATAACAGCCACTATGAAGAGGATTATAGATTGAATGCAGATGAGGTAAGACACTTAAAATGCTTTAAAATCTCATTATTTGTTTTAAGGGTGTAAACTAACATAGTGTCGGTAGTGATGAGTTTTCTTCTCTAGGTTACCAGGATCAGGCTTAGAAGCACTGCAGTTTAGTTTCTTTGTAAACAATTATAATAATTATTGTAAAAATAATGCAGAGGGGAGCAGCTTGCAGCAAGAATGGGACATGTGGCAGTGAGCAGCAGCCAGGGACACAGCGGCTGTCAGGAACAGCACCTCAACATGGCAGGGAGAGAAGCTGCTTGAGCAGTTTGTCCTTATGGCTCTGTAATTTCAGAGTAATTACTTGATTTTTGGATTTTTTTTCTCCGGGTGCTGCTGCCAATGATGAGCAAATGGTCATGAGGTGTTTAGAGGTAGTTGCACAAGAATATAGTGCCAGACATTGCAACACCTTCCCTTCCACGCTCTATTTTCTGTTTCGTTTCCTTTGAGCCAAACGGAGCTCGCAGGGTTTGCCCTCTCCATCCCCACATTAACAAGAGATGATGAAATTCTGGTTCTTCCAAATTGCAGATCCACAGAGGGGAGACAACAAGCCCCATCTGCCCACATGCACCCTGCCTTTTGGAGTGGCATTCTGCTGTGAACGCTTTCTTTCTCCTCTGACCCCTTTGGTTGCTGGAGCTTTGCACGCTGGATTTGTTTTTGCTTAACTTCCCTTTTCTCTTGCAGAGCAGTTCTGGTGTTTCTTTCCAGGAAGGGCTGCTTTCACACCCTCTGTGTTGCAAGAGCTGGGCAGGATTGCTTATTTTCCATCGGCTCTTGTTGTGCTTGGATCAGTCAGCCTTAGGGACCGGGAAGCGCACGGTGCGTGCAGCTCAGCTTTTGTAACTGGTAATTTGGTTTGGAAATGTTATCCAAACAAACAGCAGGATGAGAGTTAAGACCTGTGCAGAATCTGCTCCGTCAGAAACGAGTTCAGAGTCAGTTCTGCCTGCCTAAACATTTCGCCCAACAGCTCATTAAAATGGAAATATTCAAAGGAGACTTTTTCCCCCCGATTAGATCGTTCCTTTGATAAGAGCATTAACGAGCATATTTTCCCATAAATAAAATGAACAAGCCTCGAGGGCAGGGAAGGTTGTTTTGCCTGCAATGAGTTATGTGCCACGCTCGTCCTTTTGCTGCTAGGGGAATCACTTTGCCCCTTTGCTGCAGCTGGGAACAGCTCAAGAACGGCCTCAGCACAGCAGAGCTGGCAACATGGGCTCTCTTCCAGCTGTAGACAATCTAGTTCTTGCAGCTTTATTTCGGATATAACCCCAAAAGCTGCTCGGAGCACTGCCAGCACCCAGCACAGCCCCTCAGTGACATCGGTGACACAGGAGGGGACAGGCAGTGCTCCTGCCAGCCTGTTTGTTTGAGCTTCACGCGGCCTCGTGCTTTCAATCCGTGAGCTCCTGTGGTTGAACCAATATTGACTCAGGGCTGTGTGTACAGAGCTGGTCAGCGATGCCCCCAGAGCTGCAGCCGGCCGTCGGGCAGCTCAGCGGGATGCTCAGCAGCTCAGGTTGGGGACAGCTGGTAAAGCATGAAAAACGCTCAAGAATTTCAGACTGCTGAGCCCATTTTCAGACTTCCAAACCCCAAGTGTGAGGACACACGATGGCACGTGCCATCAAGCCCAGGCTGTCCTCACCCTGTTTGGAAGTCCGAAAGTGATGGCAGCTCTATTATGCCAACAGAATTCCAGTTTTCCTACAGGTTTCCACTGATGGAGCTGCCTTAGGTACACATTAACTTACACTGCCTCCTGCTTGTCATTAATGAGAGCTGCTGGACATGTCCTTCCATCCACCACAATGCTCTGTGTGTGCTGTACCTCCCATAGAACCGAGGTTCTGGGAGATAAAGAGGTGCCATAAGGAAAACAGGAAGCCTTGACACGACTGTTCTAATTGGACTAGTCACCCGATTTCTTTCATTTCCTGCTTACTGTGACTTTTACTAATTGGAAAACCTACTGCTCAGGAGTGCATGCAAAGAAAGGGAGCAGCTGTTACAGAAAATAAACTGTCTGGGCAAGGAGTATTTCCAGAATTTGGATTTGGGGTGTTTTAGCCCCTGAAGCTGTGGCTTCTGTTTGTCTCAGTCCTCTCTTGGGTCAATTTCTCTGGCTAATTTTGGGCTGGTTGCTGGGTGTATCTTAATACGTTGCATGCAGCTTGCAGTGTGCCCTGCTGTCACGCAGCGCTGGGTTTCTTCATGTGCAATTCTTATTCTTAATGTGCAATTTCTTATTCCCTTGGTGTTCCCAGCTGCATCTGCTGCCCTGTGTCACTGGGTGGGGAAACTGAGGCAGGGATGAAGAACTGTGTGGAGGTAAAGCTCCTCCAGCCTCAATTCCTACAGAAAAATGCACTATTTTGGGCTTTTCATCCTACTGACCTCAGAGTGCCTTTGGAATAAGCAAAATGTTTTCTTGAGCCTAAATTATCTGTCCTTATCTGCCTCAAACCTCACTGATAATCCTCTTTGTTGCCTTTAAAAATATTCCTGGGAGATCTTTCTTTGGCAGTGATGGTTATGTGTAGTTCTCTTTTATATTGCACTCAGCTTTTCTTTCAATGGCTTCCTGATGTCTTGCTGCTTGGTATTGTTGGGTGGATGTACTGTGGTTTTAGGATTTGAAATGAGCTCAGAAATACTCTTCCCTGCGGTAAGAGGATGCTTTTTTTCCCACGAAATGTTGCAGAGACGGCCTTCAAATGTTGATTTATTCAAAATTGGGTTTTCTCTTTTCAGTGCTCTCACGGTGATGCAGATTGACATTGCTGCTGCCCGTGCTGCAGCTCAGGCTTTGTCCAGCAGCACCAGTGGGATGCAACAAGGGTGAGTGTTTGCATCACCACCCGTTAAACTCTTTGAATTTCAACTACAAAGGAATCCACCCCAAAACCATCAGCTCCAAGTAGCAGATTGAGCTTGTTTGGTTGGTTCAGACCCACTGGAGGATACAGACACTCTCTCTCCACAGCCCAAATGCTTCTCATAGCGGCGCTGAGACCTTTTTTCCATGACCCCCAGGTATAACAGCTGTGACCCATTTGTTTGGAGGAAGCTGTAAGATTAGGAAAAACAAGCTGTTCTCAATTTTCTTCCCAAATAAGCCATTGTTGTTGCTTTCCAAGCCCCCTGCTCGTTATGATATTTTGCAAAGTTAACAGTCTCAAGGCACACAGCATCCAAGGGATGGCAGCTTGTTTCTCTGCTTTAATTTTTTCATCTGGGAAGATGCTGAGAGCCCTCAGCTTGGCGTTATGGAGACACTGAGAACTGAGGCTTCCCCATGGTGCAGGGTTCAGCTTCCCAATGGGATGCAACACGCAGAGGTGGAGGGCCAGAGGACACCTTCAAAGCCAAACCCAGATATGCTGTTCCCACGTGATCCTGGGGTCCCACTCGCCTCCTTTTGCCTTGTTTTGATGATTATCAGGGAAGCATCCCTATGCCTTTGCTGCTACAGATGTAAAGCATCAACCCATGACCATGTTAAGTGCCATCACCTCTTAGGCAAAACCCAGCTGTTCGTTTGCTGCCTGTTGTGATGGGAGGTGAAAAAGAACAAGCACGCAGGAACCAAAAGCCTGGTTTCTGCACCTGGGAGGTTACAAGTGTGATAATGGGGTTTTGGTGCTATGTTGTATGAAAGGGCTGCTGCAGCCTCAGAACTGGCTGCTGAGGTTTCGTTGGGTCTCAGCTTTGATGTTCAGCTGAAAGCTTTCTTCCGTGCTCTGGCAGAGGGCTGCAAACCAGCTCAGGTCTGAAGCACCGGCTCTGCAGCGTTGGGGTGGAAGGAG